TAACCTCAATCTTTTTTTTTTTTTTTGAGACAGTCTCTCACTCTCTTGCCCGGGCTAGAGTGCTGTGGCGTCAGCCTAGCTCACAGCAACCTCAAACTCCCGGGCTCAAGCGATCCTCCTTCCTCAGCCTCCCAGGTAGCTGGGACTACAGGCACGTGCCACCATGCCCGGCTAGTTTTTTCTATATATTTTTAGTTGTTCAGCTAATTTCCTTCTATTTTTAGTAGAGATGGGGTCTTGCTCTTGCTCAGGCTGGTCTCGAACTCCTGAGCTTAAGCAATCCTCCTGCCTTGGCCTCCCAGAGTGCTAGGATTACAGGCGTGAGCCACCGCGCCCAGCCTCTAACCTCAATCTTAAATGACATTCTCTAATTTCCACCTACCTCTTGGATAATACCATTACCTCAAACAGGTCTGTAACTGAGCTTCCTATCTTACCCTCCCTTACCTTCAGACTATTATTTCTGTTGACCGTGCTGGCACTCTCCTAAACAGACTGTAACTATCTTTTTATCTACCAGTTTCCAAATGCTGTTGGTTTTGACCTTTAAATTTCTCTTCCATCAGACTACTGTATACTGCGAATGTCATCAAGAAATCAAAAAGGCTACTGCCTAACACTATATTAGGCAGGAGTAGAGAGTAAGGAGCTGGATTGGTTCAGGCTGCATAGATGACAACCTTCCTCACCATACCATCTTTAATACACTCCCCTCATTCAACACAGGGTCATGATTAAGAGCAAGAACTCTAGAATTGTCTGCCTGGATTAGATTCTGCTCTGCCAATACTGGCTCTATTATTTATCAGCTTTGTGACCTTGGGCAAGTTTCTTCACTTCTCTGGGCCTCAGTTTCCTCATCTGTAAAACAACTCCCCTTATATGGTTATTATGGCGATTAAGTTAATTAATGTATGAAGTACTTAAAACAGTGCCTGGCACAGAGTAAGCACTATAAATGTTACTATTATTATTATTATTATTCAAAAAGCAATTAAGTAGTGCTGGGGAAAGGAAATAACACAATTCCTGTGGTAATAATGTAGGCAGTAGTTTCTAAAAGACCCTCTCCCCAAACACTGGTTGAGAGGTACTACTCTAGGACAGAAGTCCAAAGCTGCTACAAACACTGGAGAAGTCATTTCAGATCTGTGAAAGAAAATGTATATAGTCTATTTGGAGCTTCTAAAAGTTGTTAAGCCCTGAGGAAGGTTAACTTTGGAAACCAAGTTACAGAGCTGGGACCTCTTGACCTCTTAATTACTGATGTTTTGTTATAGATTAACTTCCTTCCTTGTTTTCTTGCACCTGGCTCAGACCAGATGGTGCCTGAGATAAAAGACCCCTTAACTATTGCATCCTTAATGTGGAATGTTAAATATACTCTTCCTAAAAAAGAAACACTGTCTATAACCAATCAAATTGCTGTAACTATGCATTAAACTTGTTTGGAAAAATGTTGAAATCCTGTTAAGCTTCCCCAGACCTTGCCTATATAAAAGACCCTGAAACCTCTCCACTTCAGAGAACTGACCTCATCTTTTTGGAATCTGTGTCCTCCTGGGTGGCCATCCTCAAACTTTGCACTCAAATAAATTCAAGATTTAATCATGTTGCATGAATCTTGTTTTTAAGGTTGACAGATTCAAGAGTGGGTGGGGAGCAATCCAGTTATAATCCATTACAGATCAAATGTTAG